TTCTCAGCACAGCTTCAGTGCTGAATCCACCTCGTTCTGCAAAAAGGTTGGAGGAATTTGGTCCTTTTGGGAGAAAGGAAGTAAGACAGTAAGGTATATCTGAGTGTCCAGGTGTTCAGGACGATGAGCCTGCCACCAAAGGGTTGCTTAATGTGGCTTTGCTAGTGGCAAATAAAGCTCTGGGTGCAATATTTTCTATAGATGGGAAGCTCTAGGACTTTGTTCTGCTTTTTTTGTGCTTGCTGTTGCATTTGCCTTTCAGCTTCCTGAATTTTTGAGATGGGCAACAAAGCAATGATAAGTCACCAAATGAAGAGTGTTCCTGGTTGGGAATTGGAGCTGGGGCTCAGGATGCTGATAGTCAGACATCATCCTTGGCTGGGAAGTTGCCTGTAGTGATCTACATTCCTATTAGCAGTGCTGTGCTCCCAGTTTGTGTTTGGGGAGAGGTGAAATGCAGGTGGAATCATCGTGAAATTAAAAATATCAATCACTGCAGCAACATGAATAATTTTTCCTTTTTTAAAAAAATTTTTTTATTATGTGCTCTGGTTACAGATTACCTAATAGGCACGGTCCACCAAGCCAAAGGTTTGGAGTTTGACACAGTGCTGGTTGCAGATGACTTTGTGGATGTACCATGTCCCATAGACAATAACCAGAGAAGACCTCAATTCATTATTGGTAAGGAAATACCTGTGTGTGGCACTAATCCTGACCTGAAAATGGGGAAACAAAGCATGATGCTGGCGTTTATCTTGCAAACTTGTGCTGTTCTAGAAATCATTTGATCTTGTAGTTCCCTTCTGGCAACACAGAGAGGCCACACTTGGAATAGACACTGCTGTGAGCCACGTAGCACCTCCTGATCTTGCTGTGCTGTTCTAACAAGTCACAGAATCACATAATTCTCTGACAGTTGGAGAAGCTGTCCAACCAAGCTTAAGGCCAATGCCAACTTATCCCCACCATGCCCACTAACCAACGTTCCTCAGTGCTACATCTCCACATTTCTTGGACACCTCCAGGGACAGTGACTCCACCACCTCCTTGGGCAGCCTATTCCAATGCATTACCACTCTGCTGCAGGACTTCTAATCTCAAAGATATCCATCGTCACCCCAGGAAGCCAAGGGATGAGTATCATCCCATGGTCATTTGAAATTAAACATCAGTCTATATCTGAAAAATCATGCAGGAAAGCCTTCACCTGACCCTGCCCACAACTTTCTTCCAGGAATGAATGACAACATAGCCAATGAGAAGCTGTTCATCAAAACTGTCCCCAAGGAGCTGGCCCATCAAGGACAATGTACTCATCAGTAGCTTCATGCAGGTCATGCTAACCCCAAGGGTCAGCCAGATGTGGTTTGGAGCTCATCTTCTTCTCCCAGGGTTGCAGCCTTTATGTAGAAACAATTGGATTAGGATATGCTGAGACCCTTGGTGATTAGAGAAGTGAAAGCCACTTCTGTAAGCCAAAGCCACTGAATCAAGACTGCCATTCATTCATCATTTCTGCCTCTGATTCATTGCCTGGCCTTGAGAATGTCATTGAATCTTTCTCTGCCTCAGGATCTGCATAAAAATAATGATGTTGTACTGAAAAAGACCTACCAAACATCATTCTAATGTGCCTCTTTCAAATCCTTCATTAGAAAAAAAAAATTCTATAGGGGGCAGAGTTTCAGAATCAGTTATTAAGCTTTTCCCAGTGTCTCAGTGCATTGGACTAAATCTCAACCCACGCAATGCCACATTTTGATCAGAATTTGAGAATAGAAATTATTTAGAAAAGTATTCTTATTTATTCCAGTGGCAGCTTCAAGCTCTGATGATGAGTTATCTAATTAGTTATTTTGCTATTTGCAAAGACAGCCAGATAATACATCACATTTTCCAGCTAGAAAACTTTCGTTTTGCGTCTTCCCTTCTTCTTAATCAACTTCTGAGTCATTCCTTAGTTTTTCATCCAGAAATCAAAAACGTGTCTACAGTTTTTCACCCTATTCCAAGCTTTCCAGCCATCAGGAAAAGGCAGGGCTTGTTGGCAGCTCTGTTTGCAAGAACAAGTTTCCTAGAAAAGCTCTTGGTGTCATTTTCATGTATGCCAGATGAAGTTATAGCATGACAGAGCTGTGCATTTATGATGTTTCCTTCTATCTAGGCATGCATCCTGAGGATGAATGGAACCTGCTTTATGTTGCAGTGACACGTGCAAAGAAATGCTTGCTAATGTCACAGTCCCTGGAGCACCTTTTGGCATTGGCAGGGGTAAGTGAAATCCTTCCAAAGTGTGCAAAACCTGAAGCAGGGCAACGTGGAGCTCTGATAGCTGCACTTTGTGGCACGCTGCTCCAAAGCAAAGCCATCAATTTGGCTGAGCAGCGCTGCCTGATGTGTAACAGAGCAGGCATCTCATCCATCCTCCCTGCAGTGAACAGGAACTCCTCAATCAGGTTGCTCAGAGCCTGCTCCAGCCTGACCTTGAGTATCTCCAAGGACATTTGGAGGGTCTTTTTGTGATGGAGGGACTTAAAATAGGAATGTAGTGAGATCACCCTAAGATTCATGCTGAGGGTGGACTATGACCTCCTCAATAGCTGAGAACACTGCATAATTCCCACTGCTCTGCACTGTGCTTTCAGTAGCAGGACACACGGTTGCAGTGGTGCAGTGTTTTTCCCCAGTCCTTCCTTTGGAAAGTTGCCTTCATAGCCTCCCTCCTTATCTCAGAGCAAGGTTCCCTTTTCTGTTGCAGTGCCCTTACTTTTCTTCCTTCTTTGCCAGCTGCCATTGAGTTCTGCTTGGTTTTATTGTCACTAAGCACTTTTTGGCAGTATTTTTATAAGCACGTCCTGTTGCAAGTAATTTCCCAGGGCGTTAAAAACAAACAAACAAAAAATCAACTGTTCCCATATCTCAACTCCTTGTGAGTGTTATTTTATTGTTGTTCTGCTTTTCTTGCCTTCTAGGAGCACTTCCTTCGAGTGGAGCTGATGAGTGAGGCTGTGAAGACCAGAGTTGCTTGTTCTGCACAACAGTGTACGCAGACATTGCAATCTGGCACCAGGCTGGTTGTGAAGAAGCTGCCTCTGATTCATGTATGTCCCCTCCAAACACTACTTCTTGTTCTTGAGCAAGCAAGCCCCCAAAGACCTACGAGATCATAGTTTTCAATCATGAGGCTTCACAGGCTGCTCTTGCCATGGGATGGCTGTCAGCATTTTGAGCTATCTCCTGGGGAGGGGACAACTTCAGTGCTAAGTTTCTATGGAAGTGAGCAAGGAGTGTCCTGTGGCTCAGCCTTTTATTTCTGACCTCTTGAATGCATAATTTGGGAATAATGGTGCAGTTCCTACGGAGTCACTCTGGTCTTGACCTCTCTCATGAGACTGTGGTCTCAAGTGGAGGCAGTTTGGGGCTTTTTCTTATGTCATATCCCAGTTTCTCTTGGGGCATCTGCCTCACTCTGCAGAGGCTATCAAACATCCATCTGGGGATGAGCAAGAGTGTGCTTTGTCCGTGCCAGGAGCTGTGAGAGAACTAGCAAGAGGGTGACAATCTGATTTTTGGGTCCAGTTTTGGCTTGAGTTCCACCTTATGGCTTTGGGGTTGATCTTCATCCAGAAAGTGCAGTCACTAAGCACATGGTAAATCCAGTGGGTCTCCATGTCTGGGACAGGAGATAAGAGATGGCTCTGCTCCATCAGCAGGGAATATGGGCAGAGATAAGAGCAGGATTCACTCCCTATCATTGCAAAGAGCCATGCACATGTATGAGAGGAAATACTAGCTGCCTGGCCATGCATCTTCTTCCTCCCCAAAGAAAATCTGAGTGGAGACGCTTGCAGCTATTAAGCAAACTGTCCCACAGTGAATTTCTTTGCATGGGAGGTGGTAGGAGATACTTTGGGCACATCATTGCACTCCTACTGGTCCAGTGGGTTGAGCCCAGGGTTGGGAGCAGGAGGCTGCATTCCTCCAGCCTCACTCTTTTCTCAAATCTTTTTCCCCCACAGAGCAATGGCAGCAAGAATATGGGTGGCTACCTTTGCTATTCCTGTGTGCAGAAGCGTTTTGGCATTATGACACCCCTGGCCTTCCTCCCAGCACTTCAGGAAGAGCCCATCGTGCTCTAACGAAGCCTTCCAAGTCCCAGAGCCATTGCCTCATCCCAGAGCTGTACTGAGTGCAGGATGACAACTGCTGTCACATCCATGCTCTAAAATCAGGTTGGATTCTTGGGACCAGCTCTGAGAGGAACCATCCAGGTTGTCTATAAGGAGTGGTGGAGACCTTTTCTCAAGCCCTGCAGGAGCTGGTCAGCATGACCTGCATCTCGCTGCACAGAAGAATATGCACAATACATAGTCTATTGGACAGGACTGCTTTTTTTAATTATTATTTATTTTTTTTGAGCACTACTCATGCATCCTCTCCATCTCTAGGAAAATACTTTCAGTGACAAAGCTGCTGGGGTTTCCCTGCTTTTTCCACTTTGTGCCTCAGGGAAATCCTCACCCAACAAAACAGGAACTTGATGCTGAGAAGTTCAGAAAAACTTGTTATTCCTAGAAAATGAACCTTTTCCCAGAGCCTGTTTCAACTGGGACATTTTCACTGTCAGTTCTGGATCACTGGAGAAGAAGGAAGTCACATTCTCTCTGGATTTAAGTCATTTGCCTTACTTGCGGCCAAGAAGTTTCCTCGAGCTTAATTTATCTTTGTAGCAAAACACTGAGAGAAGAGAGGCAGCATTTGAAGAACTGCTTCAGTTTAATTCCAATCTAACACAGCTGATCAGAAAGAAGCCAGAGAACATTTTTAATACAGAGATAAAATTTGTAGCAAAAAAAAAAAATCTGCTTTAATGCTTCATTTTTTCTCTCCCATTAAGAAGTCTTCCTGGGTTATATTTATTTTTTAGCCATCACAATAGCAATGGTACCAGCATGATGGTGGCTCTGTCAATCAGAGGGTGGCTTATGCTGCCTGCTTGAAGATAACACCTTGGCTTGTTGTCCCAGAGGCCACATCATGCACAGATCAAAACTGAAACCAGTTTAGGTAGAGGCGTGATCCTGGCCTTCAGCCTGGAGCCATGAGCAATTTGGAGTCACATTCTGTTGACTTCCACTGTTATTTGTGGAATGGCAGCTATTTTGTTGGCTCTCCTTTTGCTTTTGAAACAGTGACTTCGGGAAGACTTTCTGCTTATCAAAAGTGCAGATAACTTCGCTTAAAACTTATTTGAATACAACTGCAAAGCTCTTGCAGACACAGGACCATGGACCTCCAGCATTCCCTTCCATCTGTTGTCCAACCATCCCATGGCACTTTGGAGTTATAGGAAACTTTGGTTTATCATGTGTCTTCACAGCAAAGTGCTGTGTTTTCCAGCTCAGACAGTCCAGAGCAGTGGAACAAACACAAGGACAAGAGAAGTGAGGAAGGAACACGTTGGGTTGGCTTTCCAGCTGGCTGATGAAGCCCCTTTTGCCTTCCACCTGAGCCAGATCGGTGATGATGAACGTCACCTTGCCTTCACCCTTTACCTCTAGAGGATGGCAGTGCTCATTTAGAGTTTGCAGTGGGTTGCTGCAGCTGTATTCAATCATGAGCCACCCATCCTCGTTGTTCAAAGCCACCTTCTACTCATGCAGATTTGTGGTGTTCCCAATACCCATCAGTAAGGAGCTGCAGTCATGGAATGTCTCCTTTCCTCTGGTTCAGTCCTACCTGGAAGACCACCAGCAAGCCCTGGCTGTTACAGGGATGCATTTCACTCCAAACCAGCTCCTGACTGTCCCAGCATTCCTACTGTCCTCCCCATCGTTGTGGCTGGCAAGACACCCAACTAAAGAAACAGCCACTCTGTGTGTATTTTTACATTACAATATATATCCTTTATATATAAAACATCAGTACAAAACCACCAGTTCTGTAGCAAGTGGGGGAAATCAGTGGATAACAACAGATATCACTGCTGTGTCCTTGTCTTCAGGCTTTGGTAGTGTTTGTAGCAAATCACTCCCACGTGCAGTCCCCTACAAGCAGCTGGCATCGGTGCTGAAATTGCCCCCTGAAGATCCCTGAGTGTGGATGAGGGGATGACCTCTGAACTGGTGATGGAGCTGAAGCCCTTTGCTGTGGTTGTTGGTTCATGACTGAATGGCTGGAAGAGAGCAGGGAGGGAGTCAAGGTACAGTGAGGGGATACTCACCTGGGTCTCTATTTAGTGACTCTAAGCAGTGCTCCTTTCTGTGTTTGGGGGGCAATTTGGGGTTAAAGCACCTCTAAGGATGGGACTAGTGTCCACCATTCCTAGCCAGGGAATGGTTTTACTTAGGCAGTCTGCCTTCAACCCCAGCACCCAAACTCCATTCTCCATCCCACAAATGTCCTTTACTGGGGCAAACAGCCTGGACCATGTTGACTATAGCCTCCCAGTCTGCAAGAGGATGGGCACTATCTATGGACTCAGGCCACCCATGGGTGCCCTATTAATGGCCTTGCTCTGTTCCTTGCATCCCATACTGGTAACTTTTCCAGCCCTGCTTTGTGCTTGGGTACTTATCCCTAATTTTGGCTCCCATTTAGGATTTCCATTGAGTTCACGCCAGCTTGAGTTGTTCATTGAGCCATACAATAGGATAACCACTCACCACTTGGCACTGGAGTGATCTCATCTACTTGTTCAGGCTGAGAAGAGCAGTTACTACATGTCCCTGGAGTGAAGATACTCCGTGTGAAGGGCAGCTGGGGACGTGGGGACATGCCTCATGCCACTGCCACTTGGGGAAGCACTGAGCTTCGAGCATCCTCCTAGCTAACTGGTAGGTAAACCAACGTGCTCTGTGCTGGGTGCTCAGCCCATGGGGATGTCACCAGGTGGCAACATCTCATCGTTCTCTGCTGTGGTACTGGGAGCCACCATGGGGATGGTCGTTGCTGCTACGTGCTGCTGCGCATGCCTAGGGATGAGAGAGAAGTGTCAACAGTGCCTACAGGGTCTTTCACAGCTTTCAGGAAAGCAATGGGTCTTGTGGACGAGCCACGTGGTGCTCAACAAACCTACATTTTCATCCTCCGGTAGCAGAGTCCCGCCACAACAACAACAAGCAGAAATGAGACCCCTAAGGGAGAAACAAAGCAGATGATGAGCATCTTCTAATGGTTGGCCAAGGGAACAGCTCCACAAACAGTCAAAACTACGTTACACGCAACTTTTGTAGTGAGTTTTCAAGGTATCTTCTTTGCCAAGGGAAGAAATCGGAGTGCTGCATGCTGCCCCTCTTGGAAACATTGCCCTCAAATATGGCATAAATCTCACACAGCCCTGGTTTTTTAGGGTTCAAAAAAACAAAGCAGCTCATTCTTACCATCAACCCAGCAATGCTTACCGATGGAAGAGGCCACAGTCTGAGTGGAAACTGGAAAAAAAAATAAATAAATAGAGATTTTAGCTGCAGAGCTGGGGAAGCCTGGAAAATGGGGAGAAATATCAGGGAGAATCTTATTTAAAAGGTTGTTGAGAAGGGAAAAAAATGTATTGAAAAAGAGAAAGAGCCCTTGGCTATGGAAACACAATGGGTTATCTCCTCACCTGCAGCATCGTGTATGGGGATGGTGGGCAGTGGGGTTGTCCCCAGGGCTGTCCCCTCTCCTGGTCTAGGCATCTCTGGTGGTTCAGACACTGGCGGTGGCACAGATGTCTCTGGCAATGGCACAGGCACTGCTGCTGAAGTGGTGTTGGTTCCTGCAGGGGGAAATGTTGTAAAACCTTTTAATTTAGGGCAGCACACTCTGGTCACTACGCAGTGTTTTAATTTGGACATGGCAAGGGTGATACATCTCAACCACTTTGAAATGGGATAATTTCCCCTAGTTGGGAAGAGGGTAGATGTGACAGTTAGGGACATAGTTTAGTGGGCACAGTGGGGTTGGGTTGGTGGTTGGGCTTGATGGTGTTGGAGCTCTTTTCCAAGCATAATGATTCTGTGATTGTGTGATTTTTCAAGGCCAGATTGGATGGGGCCCTGGGCAGTCTGGTCTAGCATTAGGTGGAATGGTTGGTGGCCCTGTGTGTGGCAGGGGGGTTGGAGATTCATGATCCTTGAGGTCCCTTCCAACCCTGGCAATTCTGTGATTCTGTGATTCTATGATTCTATTTAGGGACACAGCTTAGTGGGCATGGTGGGGTTGGGTTGGTGGTTGGACTTGATGATATTGGAGGTCTTTTTTAACCTTAATGACTGTGATTCTATTCAGGGGCATGGCTTAGTGGGCATGGTGGTGATGGGTTGATGGATGATCTTAGAGGTGTTTTCCAACCTTAGTGATTCTACAGTTCTATGACTCTCGGATTCTATTCAATCCTGCAACTGAACTATTTTGCTTTCCGTCACCGCAATGGTTGAGTTTTTGCCACATTCAACTCTTCCTCACCTCTTTGGCTTGTCCTCACTGTTGGGAGCTCAGGGCTTGGGGTTTGCAGAGGTAGAGCTGGGTCCCCTTTGGGTAAACACAACAAAGACACCATCAACAGCAGCAATACCACCCTAAGTTCTCCTTCACCCCATCCCCATTGCGTCCCATCCCCAGAGATACGACCACTTACGGATGCACTGCAGCTCAGTGGACGTCCAGACAGGCTTGCCACGATCGAGGACGCACTGGATGAGGGTGGAGGTGCCAGCTTTGCGTTTGTAGCCCAGCTTGCAGGTGTAACGCAGGCTGGTGTGAAGCAGCTCCGTGTCTCCCGCGTTGATGATCGCATTGGCCACATCTTTGGGACGGCCGCATCGCACCGCTACGGAGGGGGGAAATAGAAATGGAGATGACAACGGGAATGTCAGAGCTGCCTGGATTTCGAGCCAGTCCTACATGGAGCCAGGACTCGGTGGTCCTCGTGGGTCCCTAGTGGTTCTATGATTCTTCGGTTCTGTGATGTGTGGGCTCATGAGGAGCAGGACGTGAGGCTGAAGTTATGGCCATCCCATGGAGAGGAGAATGATAGGGAGAGGAGCATGCTGGCAATGGGGATAGAAACTCAATAGGGATGAAAGCATGATGGCAATAGGGACAGGGATGGAAGTGTGGTGGGGGCTAGAGCCACTTTCCCACCTGCAGCATTCCCACCTCCTCCCAGACATTCTCCAACCCACCAGCATGCAACATCCCACTGACAGCAGCACCACAACACTATGAGATGGGCTGGTGATGGTGCCAAGGAGCAGACATTGAGCCAGGAGATGGGAGAAACCAAAGGATATGGCCAGCTGCTGACACACGAGTATCTCATATCCTTCCCAAAGGCAGGAAATCCCAGAATGCATGAGATAAAACCACAGTTAGACAATCAGCAGAATCCCCTCTCTGAGAATGGATGCACAACCACCATTAGATACCAGAGAATCCCATCTATGGGAATGCACAACAGCTGTTAAACATTGGAGAATACCATTAATGGAAACTCACAACCACTATTAGACACTGAAGAATCCCCTCTTTGGGGACGCATAGCCACAATTAGCCCATAAGGGTGCTTTCTGCCCCAAATCATGATCCTGATTGAATCAGCACTGCTGCAAATGTCATTTAAAGGGAAGGGCAGGAGCGCAATGCCTTCAGCAAATGCTCTTCTGTGCTTGACTCACTACAGAACACGCTCGTTTTCCATCATATTGCAGACTTGGCAGGAAAAAAAAAAGAAAAAAAAAAAGCATTAAGCCATCCCAGAGATTTTTGGCTGGCATGCAGCTTTATTTCCTGCACTTCCACTAACGTTTTCCAAGCCTCATTGGAAGATCTGGGGAGTCTGCATGGGAAACACACAGTGCAAAATCCCATTGAGATACATCTCCTGGGGATCCATATGAGGAAATCCCACTGAGATGAATTTCCTGGCAGTCCATATGATAAATGTGCAGCACAAAATCTCATTCAGATGCCTCTCCTGGAGATCTCTATGGGGAAATCCTATTGAGATGGATCTCCTGAGGGTCCTTATGGGTCCATTGTGTGGGTCCATGGTGTAGCATCCAGATCCTATGGGTCCTTACGGATTCATGGTGCAGCATCCAGATCCTATGGATCCTTATGGGATCATGGTGCAGTGCCTGGATCTTATGGGTTCCTTATGGGTTCATGGTACAGCACTCGAATCCTGTGGGTCTTTATGAATTCATAGTGCAGCATCCAGATCCTATGGGTCCTTATGGGCTCATAGTGCAGCATCCAGATCCTATGGGTTCTTATGGGCTCATGGTGCAGCATCCAGATCCTATGGGTCCTTATGGGCTCATAGTGCAGCATCCAGATCCTATGGGACCTTATGGGTTTGTGTGTGCAGCACTGAGATCCTAAAATCACCCCCAGCTTCCACGGATGCTGCTGGGGAAGCGTTGCAGGCACCCAGTGGGAGACAATTGAGGTGCACTTTGGGCACCCCATGGACACCACGAGGGGATCCTGGTCACGCGTGGGTGCTGCGTGGGCACCAAGAGGGGAACCTGGAATACCTATGTGCAGCACAGCCACGCGGAGAGCCCCGTGACCCACCCCAGCGCGCAGCGTGGGTCCCCACTCCAATCCCCACGAGTAAATCGCGGACACCCGTGGGAGCACGAGTGAGACGCGGACACTCCCAGCAGCAAGCCGAGAGCTCTCGCACCGCTCTGCTTACCGCTGTCCGAGGAGCTATAGGGCAGAAATAGGAGAGCAGCGCAGAGCAGCAGCAGCCGATCCATGGGCGGTGGTCTCGAGTCGGGCGGGGGGGGCTCAGCGCTCCCCGAGGGGTTCCACGCCGACGCCCCTCTGCGATCCGCCGCCACCGCCGGCCATGGCCTCTCCCTCTCTTTCGCTTTCGGTTTCAGCACGGGGTAATCGGTGGGGACACGTCGTCCAATAGGGAATGGGGAGGGATGGGGCTGGGGAGGAGGGAAAGGAGGAGGATGGTGAGGGTATGGGGGATGCGAACGGGATGCGGGACTCGAAAGAGGTGCGGTATCCAAGTACCCAAAGAAGGACCCAAAGAGAGTCCCAAAATGGAGAGGATGTAAAACTCGGGTGATGCAACACAGAATCACAGAATTGCCAGGGTTGGAAGGGACCTCAAGGATCATGAATCTCCAACCCCCCTGCCACATGCAGGGCCAAGGGGGGAATGCAATACTCAAATTGGAGATGCTGTATCCAAAGTGGGGAGGATGCCAAACTCAAAGGATGCAGTACCCAAAGAGAGGATGTGATACCAGATGAGGGGATGTGGTACCCAAAAGGGGGGATGCAGAACTCGAGAAGGGATGCAGTACCCAAAGTGGTGAAAGATACAGTATCCAAAGAGGGATGCAGTTCTGGAGGGAGATACATTACTCCCAGAGGATTCAACTGTGTTATGTAAGGAGGGTGTGATATCCTAAGTGGGGATATAATAGAAAAAGTGAAAGAGGGGATGTTATTCTGATGGGAAATTTATTATAACCCATGTCATCAGGAATGTTGCTGGGAAGAGGGAAGAGTTTCACATTCACTTGGGACAAAAGACAACACGAAGACCTCTAGCACAAAAAGTGAAAGTCTTGCCTAAATCTAAAGTCTAGACCAGACAGGTGGGTTGAGGCATCAGGAGATGCATTACTTCAGAGAAAATGTAATACTGGGATAGATGGGATACCCAAGGAGGAGAAGATGTGGTACCCAGGATGGAATGTGGTAGTTGGGGTGGAATGCAGTACCTGGGGTGGGATGCAAAACTTGGAGTAGGATGCAGTATCACTTTGATGCAGTATCTGGAGGGGATGCAGTTCCTAGTAGGGAACAATGAAGTCTTTATCCTGGGGATGGGCTCCCCAATGGAAATGTGGTACTATGGGGCAATGCAATCACACCCTCAGATGTCCCTGTTTGGATCCAATGCCAAAAGCCTCTTGTGCTCTGGTTGGGTAACTCATACCAAACTCTCAACAAAAAATCTCTTTTGTTGGGTTGCATTGGGTTGGGTGGGGGGGTGGATTGCATTGGGTTGCATTGAGCTGGGCTGGATTGTGTTGGGGTTGGGTTGGGTGGAAGACCTCATGGATGCAGATGTCAGAGACCTTCAGTGCTGAGCTGGAGTTTGCTGATGCCAAACTGGAAATGAAGCCATGATCCAAGGCCCTGGAAGATGCCTGTACAATAAATCCTCCCCCAAACAACCTCATGGCTCCATGCTTTGTCTGTCTTCAGGTCCTTTTCCATTGCCCACAACTCATTCTGTCTTGATGGGTGAATACTGGTGAATAGCTTTACTGCAGCCAAAGGGGAGGGCAATTTGGAGGATATAACTTTTCATGTCCAACCAGAAATCCCTCATGGGAAGCAGTTAAATTATTATCGTTTGACGAACAGTATTGTGTTGCTAACCATTTGATCAATCATTAAACCCTTCCAAACATATTTGACAAAGAGCAATATACAAGACTGGAAACGTTGAGAATTAGTTGTATGTACCCAAGATTTGTTACCAGAAATATTCAGGGTCCTGCAGATGCACCAATTACACACTAATTAAGTGAGATCTCGGATTCCTAAATCTCCATATTTAAAGGCACTCCACTGTGGATTGAACACAGTCTTTAATCTGTGAACTCTGGACAGGTGAGGATTTCTCATGAGCGTTACAAAGAACAATCATTGGGTTAGAGTTCACCAGCAATAAATAGTTGAGGGCAACGCCAGGATTTGGTATGGGAGGTCGCTGGGGTTTGAGAAGTTTCTGAAAGCAGTCATTCAAAAAAACTCAAAACCACAATGTTTTCATAACTGATCCTGAAGGGATTTTTTGGCAATCCCTGTAAAAATAAACCATGTAGCTATGGAAATTTTATTGGATAATGTAAACAACATATGAGAGTTTATGTTAGCAAAGCTGGACAAAATGTGTTGCTTGGGAATGCCTTATTTCCCATAGGAAGATTTTCTACAAAAATCAGAGGCCACAGTTTTGGGCATCAACCTATTAAAACCCTACCATAAGGAAGCTCTTTGTGTGCTGAACTCAATGCATGGCATCAAAGGATCCTTCTCATTTTGCCCTACCCACCAAGACAATAATGTGACCTAGAGCATCCCTAACCATGGGATATGGAGATAAACTGGGACTGAGCTTGAATTTTGTATTTTCAAATGGCTTCACCACCCCTACAAACATAAGGGTTGTCTTTCGTAACATCTGAAAAATAATTTTCAGGCTTTCTTGCCTTTGGGGAGGTTGGATACAAATAGTTGATGAGCTTTTGCCTCATCCAATGTATTTTGCAGCTGATGTTTATTTGTTCCTCCTTGGATGGAGGAAGGTTGTACTGTTGACTACAACTCTTATGCTGAAGATTTTGAAGTCCAGAAAAGCTGGATTCAGACCAGGACTTGTGATGTATCCATGATTCCATGTCTTTGGAGACACAATGCTTGTTCCAAGATGCTGGGCAGCAACCTTTTGTTTGGGTAAAAATATTCCATGGGGTTTATTTCCCAGCTAAAATCAACCCAAACTCTTGTTTACGAAGGGACAATAAATCTGTTTTTGCTATTGTTGGGGTGTTCATCCAGGAATTATTTCATTTCTTAAAAATTCTGAACTGTGTCTTCCAGCACTAAGTGCATATCACCAGTGGGGATGTGAGATCATCTTTAAGCATTACTACCTCTGTGGAATATTTGAGGTCATTAATGGGGAATAGTTGGGAGGATGGCTTATCCAGTAGTAGTAAGTACCAAAGATTTCTAGAAACCATTTGTACAGATCAGATTGGCACACTGGGTTGATTTCCCATCAAACTGATTTAATTTTATCTTATCTCTTTGTAGCATATGGCCTCTCTCTCCCAAAGCAGTGACACCTGGAAATCACAATAAGCCATTTCAAATATATATATTAAATTATTTCCTTATCAAGGAAGTAATTACAATGTTCATAATTTTGCCATATGGCAGTGACAATACTACTGAGCCTCTCTAATGGAAGAAGGAGCTGATTTTCTGGTGCTATGATGACAATTAGTCATGCTGTAGTTGCACCCAATTAAGGCTGCAAATGTTTAATGCAGGTGTGGGGTTTGGAGGGGCAGAAGTCGGTGTGACCCACACCTGTGAGGTGGTGTTAAATGGAGTTGACCTGACAGTCCTTCCATCCAAGTGTGTATAAATGCAAAATATCTAATCCTATGGGGGCTACAAGTGAGTTAATAAGCTAAATTTGATGATAATGAAGAAGAAGGGAAGGAGAGTGGTTGTGCTGGTGATGATGATGACGATGATGATGACGACGACGATGATGATGACGACGACGATGATGATGATGATGATGACGAAGAAGCAAAAAAAGAAGAAAAGGAGGAAGAGGGTGATGGTGATGATGAAGATGATGATCAAGAAGAAGAAGAGAAGGAGAAGAGGGGTGGTGGTATTAATGGCGATGAAGATGATGGAGAAGAAAAGAAGGATGGTGATGGTGGTGATGATGAAGATGATGAGCATGAAGGAGGGGAAGAGGAGAGGAAAGGTAGTGGTTGTTATGATGATGATGAAGGAGGGGAAGAGGAGGAGGAGGAGAGTGGTAGTGACAGTGATGATGAAGGAGGAGAGAGAGGAAGAGGAGGAGGAGGACTGTGGTGGTGATGAAAAGGAAGATGATGGTTACGATGGTGATGTGGGGGAGGGAGAGGAGCAGAAAGAGCAAAAGAAAAATGGAGCTGAAGGATGGTGATGGTGGTGACAGGGATGAGGAAGAAGAGGAGAATGGTAGAATCATAGAAGCACGAGGAGGAGGAGAAAGAAGGAGGAAAAGAAGAAAGAAGAAGTCAACAGTGATGACAACACTGTGATTAGCACTGGAGGAAAGACCATTTTCTGCTAGGAACTAAAATAAACCGCATGAAACCTACAGTCATTTGTTATAGGATTTATGCATTTATATTGATTCATCTTAAAAACTTGATATTTCTGGCTGAACGTTGGCAGAATTCATATGAAAGGGTTTCACTGTCCAGAGGAATACCCCTACAGAGCCAAGCAGAAGGGTGTGAGCCTGTTACATTGCAGGAAAGCATCCTACCTTTCTCAAGGCTCCCTGTTGGAGTTCAGCATGACTTTACCATCGAGGAATCCAGGGGATAAGGGAGACCTGGGGCTACATGGCTCAGTGGGGATCTCCACTGGGTTTTTTTGGAAATTCAGCTTTGTTTCCAATTTCCCAGTTTAGATTAGGAAAGTACCAGTGAGATCACAAATGGTGTTTCTATCTCAGAGTACTTTAGTTTTTATCCTTTGGGATTCCTGGAATTCTCTCTTTCTAAGGTTATCATAACTTCTTCTCAAAGAAAACACATATTTTGGTTACAAGACTTGAGTTTGTGCCACCATGTCACAATCCTGGGAGGAATTCATAATTTACAATGGAACAACCAACCACAATCCCATTGAATAGTCTGAGCGATCACATGAGGTTGGTCTGGATAATCTTACTGGTCTTTCCATCCTTTATGAAAGATAGGGATGTAACACTTCAGCTGGAGGTTTGCACAAGCTCCATAAGCTGTCAAAAGAAAGAGCTCGTTACAGAGTCAGAACTTGTGGAACACTCCAATTTTGCTATTTATATATGGTTACTCAACACTCTACTTTTGGAGCTCACTCTTTAATCCAACTATTACATTTCATATACTGGGTGTATTTTTAGCCTTTCTGCATCATGCCATCCAGGGGGAGGATTAAGTAAATGTCAATGCTCCTCAAAACTAGTGAGCAGCCACAACCTCATGGGTTGTATTCTGTGTATAATAGTTTCAGTGATATACAAGTATTACTACGTGAGATAGTGCAGAACTATGGGTAAAAAGGGATTTAATAAGAAGACAGATTGCACTGACCATGTCTTTTTGAGTACCTTTAACTGAGGAATACTGTTCCAAGATTTAGCTGAAGAAGATGAACTGAAGTCACCCTCTTCCTCCACGGGAACAAAGTATTTGGAGTATGGACTTTGGCTTGAGACAACAAAATCATATTAATTAAGTTCAGATTTGAAGTTCAGGGTTCCAGAAAACAAATGACAATTCCTGAAAATAGCAGATAAGTCTCAGTCTGGATTCATTTTTCTGTGAATCTGTACTTGGAGATGTGGCACTTAGGGACACGGTTTAGTGGGATGGGGATTGTTTAGTGAGGATGGACTTGGCAATCTTAGCAGTCTTTTCCAACCTTAATGATTCTGTGTTTCTATCATTTCTTTTGTTCATTCCATGCACAACACTGAATGCTTCAACATTCCTTCCTCGGATTTAGACATACCCAGCAAAAATTGCCTTATGGAATATCCCAAGTTGGAAGAATCATTAAGTCCAATTTCCTTTACAGCTCATTCACAAAGAAAAAGTAGAAGGCTGAACTGGCCCCAAAGAACAAAGATTCCTTCTTGTTCTGCATGTTTATGTTGCTCAGAAGTATTATGGTGATACATCTGGTCTATGCAGCCACCACTTGAATTTTTCCCAACAGAAGATTGTATACAATCACATGAAAATAAGCGCAGTTCAAGGGGTTTGTATAAATGTATCATATGGAAGCAACAGTTCAAACTGTCTACTGAAGGAACACATCATGTTCTTGATTTGCCTTTGCTGGGCTGCGTGCAAAAGTAAAATCGGAAATATTCTAAGAGTATTCTCGCTGCATTCATTATGTGACTGAAAAGAAAAATGTGATGGCAGTACTCATCATCAGATTATCCAGATGATGCAGACTCAAGGGAATGGAGAGGTTAGCAACTCTGAATGCTCAGACAGAAGGAAAACTTGAGAAAATAATCCAGATAGGCAGATATGTAACCAAAAATCAGGTCATCCTGTTTCTTGTGGATCATAGACTCATAGAATGGCTTGGGTTGGAAGGAACCTCATCCCAAGGAATCGGTAGCAACACAGCACTTCAAAACTGATCCATGGCATTTCCTGGGATATCCAGCCAGATAAACACATACATGACACAGCTTCAACAGCCCTAGCTGAAGGCTAACAGCTCAAGCTGGTCCTTTTCAAACAGATTCACAGATGTTCTCCCTCCAGCTGATTAATTGGGTCATTGGATTACGAAATCAAGCTCTGTGGTCCTGCTGTGCTAATTAGGGCAGCTGTAGTTCATTATGCTTAGCTCTTCTGGCTGCATCCCAGTTGACTCCACATGTCGCTATGACACCATGTTGGAAGGAATA